TTATAAGGAAAAGTATGATTTACAGGGGCAAGCCACTAATTTGAGATCGAGAGCATATATTTAAAATTAAATAAATTAAAAATTGGAGTCCGGAATTGTGACGATGTCACAATAATTTTTGCTGGTTGCACATATAAAAGAACGGAATACACATTAACATTTATCGAACTTATATTTTAAAATCGATAAGTGATTTGGATAAAAACACGTATTATATAACCTAGAATGGCATAAATAAATGATATATCAAGCTCTGTGCATATAAGAATTCTAGACTAAATTCACCAAATATTAAAATAATATAAGAAAAAAAAAAAGAAAAAGAAGAAGAGGAAAAGATAGATATAAGTTTTATCCAATATAGATGAATAATGATTGAGTGCTTTAGTATTTTATTTTATTTTTGAATAAATCAAAAGTATTTTGTCAATATTTCCACTTCCACTTTTACTTAATAGCCCATTTAACTAGATTTACAATGTAAAAAAACGTTACATATTTAATTGAAAGCTTTGTATATAATTTATTTTTCACAAATTACTCGTAGGAAAGAATAAGAGAAAAATCTAAATATGAATTTTTTTCTTGAATATTATCAAAATTCCCATAAAAAAATTAGCTAGTTCATCACGTAAAGAATATAAATAATAAATTAGCCGTATTAATATCATTTTATTCTAATAAAATGGATAATAAAATGTAATTTTTCCTTCCATTATTATTTCCAGTCTTGTTATATTTATTTTAAATGATATAATTAATTAGTTTAAATTAAATCTAAAATATTATTAATTTCTATTATTAAAAATATAAAGTAAATATTGTGAATTTAAACAATGTACACGTACTGTACGTGCGTAATGTAATAAGTAAGATATAATAATTGTTTAGGAAGAGAAACGAATTAATTGATAATATACCGTAAAAATTAATTTTGTCATGTTGACAACAATGTTGATTCAAGGAGTAAATTCTAGAGACTTAAATCAATATTACAAATAGAAATTTCCTTTTATTTGTTTTTCTTAAAATCTCCACATCAAAAAACAAATATTCTTCTATTAAAAAACTCAATATTTAGCAAACTTAAACTTTAAAATTTTCTAAATACAATAGCCTGATATCACGCAAATGAATTTCGAAATTTGATAATTTTATTTTATTTATTTTTTTAAAAATCCAGCAATGAGTTGCTTAAATTTTCCGGCAACATTTAAAATCGCGTGTGGCTCCATCTGTCATAAAAAGTTTCGACCTAAAGCACGGGAATTATTAAGCTTTAAAGATAGTGAACCAAATTGCCCCCACCATACACACTAACAACCATACATAGAGAAAATACAACGAATTTTTTTTTATATATATATTTCTCGACGTTTGGATGGGGGTCATCTCTCTTCAAATCTTGGGGAGTTCATTTTTGACCGATGGCCATACTTTTCCTCTGTTATATGAAGAATAAAATGAGAAACTGAATTAAGTCTATGACAAATAAAGTACTTAAAAAAATAATAAAACAAAAATAATCAGTGGAAATCAGAAAAATTTTACAGATAAAATAAATTCCTTACTACAAATACCCAAACAATTCAAAGTACAGGAAATTTGTTTGAAAGACAAATCTCAATAGATGTTTGGTGAAACAATTATCTGTCAATACAATGTGATAACGTGATACTAAATGAAGTAATTAACTTTCCTTGTAAATAAAAGTAAAACAAAAGAATAATGATATTTCTATGTTATCTATTTTGTTTTCGGCCCTCTATTTTTTCTTTGAACTGATAGTAATTATATTTTTTTTTATACCCTTATGATAATGTCGACACTGTATTTCATGGTGGTAATTAGAAAATAGTTAATTTTCTGAAGACCTGGTGGCTAAATTAACAATGTAAAAGATAAAATCATATATACTAGATGATTGTGACATCATCATCGTTACAGTCGAGCCCCCTATAACACTGTTGATAATTCCGTTTTATATGAATTCCATGTTGTACGAGTCACTTAGATTTTACAAATACGTGTGCCGCGCTGTGAACGGCTCACGTATTTGTAAAATCTAAGTGATTCGTACAACATGGAATTCATATAAAACGCAATTATCAACAGTGTTATAGGGGGTCTACTGTATTTGTAATTGCTTTGTTTAATTAACCAAATTTTTCAAAAAAAACTTTTCAATTTTATATTTTCAGATAGCATCAGAAGCGAAATAAATTATTTAAAATAGTCGTTTAAATAAATAAATAAACCAATAACGAGTTGTCCAACTTTTCCGGCAATGTTTAAAATTTTTGATGGCGCCATCTGTTATATTTTTATTAAAACAAATTTATATATATATATATTTTAACTATTATAAAATTGCAAAAAAAGCTTAAATTTAAAGGTAGAGATTGGTTTTATAAAAAATTGTAACGAATAAAATCTTCGTTAAGTCCGATCCTACTGGAGATACGTCACACGACCCCCCTGTATCTCACCACCTCCTCGACCTTTGACCACCAAAATTTAATAGCATCAGTGTCCTTAATAAACAAACCTACGTGCGAAAGTTCAGAAATTTCTTAAACATTTACCAAAGTTATTTTTATAATTGGTATCGGCCATGTTTATTTATTTATTTAGTATCTGTTTTCTTTGGTATATTTGTATCTCTCTACCGTCTTGATTATTTTCTTAAAAAAAATAATTAAAAAAAAAACACTTCAAAAGATACCTTTAAAAAGTGCAAAAATAATTTATCATTTTTAATTAATTAATAAACCAAAATCTTTGATGTTTTCGGTAGGCCCGAATGAATGAATTTCAAATGTAATGTAATTATTAATTAAAAGTTAATTTTGATAATTATTATTTCGTGTGTAGTAATGCGAACGATACTTCGAATATAAAACAAACAAACTAGCTTAATTACATTCATATTTTTCATTTAAATACAATTACTTAAGCTTAATTAAATCGGGCTTGATTAATTAAGCCTAATTTATCTGAAGGCCCAAAATTTGAAATATTTTATCTTACGTGTTTTAATTAACCGTGAAGTTATGTATATAAATCCAGTCCCTTAGCCGGGAGTAAATCATTATGGGGCTAGAACGGCAAGTTGAAAAAAAAGAAAGAAAAAAAAAACCTACCGCTCTGGGGGATCCGGGTTCGAATCTCCGATCGGATCGAAAAAATCCAAGAAGTTTTCGGGGTTATGTCAGGCCTCAAACCCCACCTTTCGGCCGCTTTATTGTGGGCCTGGCCAAACTCATAACGGTCTTGAAAAAAAAAAAAGGCCACTTAGTGTCCACAGGCGGAGAGTTATCATTTAGGCCTAAGTTAATCCTCTCGCTAATTAAGCCTAATTTGTCTGAAGGCCCGAAGCTTTATTTTGTATCTTTCCTTAATTTTTTTTAGTGGCACTTTTGTTTTTTTTTTATTTTTTTATTTTTTGATAACGATTAATAGTAAAGCAGGGCGACGAAATCTACGAACTTGTTACCTTGATTAGGGATACTAATTGTCAAAATTTTAAAATTAAAGTTTACGAATCGACTTTTTATTACATTTAATAATGCCATAACTTAAATCAAGCACAAATAAAGCTAAATTATCTTCGTTTTGTCGTTTGCGGCGGCAAACGACATCACGATAAAAAAATCGATTGATGACCTGGAAGGACAAAAGCGCTCCCTAGCGACTCGAGATGCGCACGTGGTATTTGTTTAATTGTAAACATGACTTCGGTCGGTTAGTAACGACTCCTACTCAAAGGAAACTAAAGCATGTCCTCTTCCATTTACAATGGTTGATGTCGCTCCCGAAAACATACAATCGACTATCCAACCCAGACCATCTTCTGACGAGGTATGTAAATTAAAAAAAAAAGATTTTTTTTAAATAAAAAAAACATTGTTATTGTTATTATTATTATTATTATTGATTTAGCGGCTTTTACTCTATTCGTGCCATTTTTTTTTAATTGTAAATGTATATAAATGTCACAGCCGCTAGACATTCTAATCGCGCTATTTAGTAGATTGATTTTTAATTATTTATCGTTTCGCTTTATGTATTACGTCAATCGGATGATCGTATTTGTTTTCTCTTACTTTATATTAAATTATTTCTAGTTAGTGGATATACACATCTACTTACTTCCTTCGGAGAAATGGATAGAAAGGAGAAAACTTGCCAAAAATATTGCTATGGATTATTCAATTTCGGCGGGATTTGTCAGGTATGTCCTTTATTTTATTGTTAAAAAAACACAACAACAATTCGATTTTTTGCAGTATTATGGAAGCTGAAAAGCCTATTATTTGTGTGTTGATTTGGCATACGAGTTGCCTTCCAGTAGACATTTTAAATGAACAATCAAACAATTTTATTGCTCGGCATCGTAATTATTTGCTTAATAATCCGCTCCTCTTACTAATAGAAGGAGGAATGGGAAAAAATATATGTAAACAAGAGCAAATTATAGTATTTTAAACTAATACAATAACCAAAACGAATTATCCCGAATTTCAATTTACATCACCGCCATTTTCTTTTTAGTATCATTTTCATTTTAAGGTTAAGGTGCAGGTATTTAAAGATTTAATTTAATTTTCTGATAGATTATAATTAAAATATTTATTGTTATTACCGTACAAGTGACAAATCGATTTTCATATTAAAATAGAACATTATTATTTTTTTCATAATTTATGATAGGTTAATGTTATGAAAATCATCCAACTCGAACGCAAAAATCTGGACTCGTACAAAAAGGCTAATTAATTATATTAGGTTAATGCGTTTTAATAAATGATTAAAATNATAAATTGCTTTTTTTTTGTAGCTGAGACGAGTGCTATTGTCTTGGCCATTATTATATTTATTCTATCTTGATGAAAGAATTGTCAACCAGATAGGATGAGAGAGTGATTTACTTTTTATTTATAAGAAATCAAACATTCTTATCTGGTCTTTCCCTTCTTCTTCCTCCCGAAAACATACAATCGACTATCCAACCCAGACCATCTTCTGACGAGGTATGTAAATTAAAAAAAAAGATTTTTTTTAAATAAAAAAAAACATTGTTATTGTTATTATTATTATTATTATTGATTTAGCGGCTTTTACTCTATTTTCGTGCCATTTTTTTTTAATTGTAAATGTATATAAATGTCACAGCCGCTAGACATTCTAATCGCGCTATTTAGTAGATTGATTTTTAATTATTTATCGTTTCGCTTTATGTATTACGTCAATCGGATGATCGTATTTGTTTTCTCTTACTTTATATTAAATTATTTCTAGTTAGTGGATATACACATCTACTTACTTCCTTCGGAGAAATGGATAGAAAGGAGAAAACTTGCCAAAAATATTGCTATGGATTATTCAATTTCGGCGGGATTTGTCAGGTATGTCCTTTATTTTATTGTTAAAAAAACACAACAACAATTCGATTTTTTGCAGTATTATGGAAGCTGAAAAGCCTATTATTTGTGTGTTGATTTGGCATACGAGTTGCCTTCCAGTAGACATTTTAAATGAACAATCAAACAATTTTATTGCTCGGCATCGTAATTATTTGCTTAATAATCCGCTCCTCTTACTAATAGAAGGAGGAATGGGAAAAAATATATGTAAACAAGAGCAAATTATAGTATTTTAAACTAATACAATAACCAAAACGAATTATCCCGAATTTCAATTTACATCACCGCCATTTTCTTTTTAGTATCATTTTCATTTTAAGGTTAAGGTGCAGGTATTTAAAGATTTAATTTAATTTTCTGATAGATTATAATTAAAATATTTATTGTTATTACCGTACAAGTGACAAATCGATTTTCATATTAAAATAGAACATTATTATTTTTTTCATAATTTATGATAGGTTAATGTTATGAAAATCATCCAACTCGAACGCAAAAATCTGGACTCGTACAAAAAGGCTAATTAATTATATTAGGTTAATGCGTTTTAATAAATGATTAAAATTTTAAAAATTATTAAGTAATGTTTTAAACAATTTAAATAGATTTAAATAATATTTATATTTATTATTATTATTATTATTTTTTAAAGTCGTTTGTTTAATAAATATGTAATGAATGACCAGCAGATGGCGTCGGAAATTGATACCGTCGCTATGGAAACGAATAAACTTTTATTATGATGTAATAGTAAAATTATTGAAATGTCATTTTAAAGTAAAGATTTAATATTAATTCCTTTTATCCTTCGTTAATAATTAATATGACTATATTAAAATATATTAGATCGATAAAAGTCCTAAATATCCCGTAAATAGAAATTAAACAGTAAGAGCAACAACATCATTGGTCGAGAAGGGTCACGTGGTATATTAAAAAAATAAATACCAATTATCGAAAATCTCTAATTAGACGTTTAAATTTTGAAAATTATTAATATTATTAAAATTATATAAATATTATTATCAAATAAAAATATATTCGACGAGTAATAATCGTTTAAATGCAATTGAAAGCGATTTAAAAAGAAAAAAAATATTCCATCACTCGATTGGTCAATTTTTAACCAATAATATCCATTTCGAAAAATTTAAATTTAAACGCTTAAAACTGTATCGATTCGTAAACGTGTTTGCAGTAGAAATAAAAATTTAAACGACAATTTAATTTCATACTCGTAAGACATGAATAATTTAAATTGACAAACCATCCAGAAAAATGTATAAAAATTTAAAAATAAGAAAAAAATAAAATTATGAATATTTATCACTTTAAAAGGTATGAATAATGAATAATTAAAGTGGAGAATTTTTATTAAGAATTAAATAGAAAGTTATTAAAATAAACTGTGATTCTATATATTTTTTATGCCCCATAGCAACGTAAAGAATGGTATTACGATTGAATTGTTTGGATGCCCGAGTGAATAAAGTGGAAACGAGTTCATTCTTGTTGACAATCGTCCGTTTCTCCTTATAAGAAGAGAACGTTGTCTTCACCTGCTATATATAGTGAAACAAGTGATTGATAAGAGGGTTTTTCCTTGCAATAACGTTTCCGTATACCCCCCATTCTAGTTTTATATAAGTTTCCTAATAACCTCTCTCATGAATCATCCAGTCAAAATTAGAACATGGCGGTAGAATATCTACTACTCATTTGTCTCTTACAACACGCTAACTATCGATAGAAATCTATCTTCCTACATAATATTTGTATATGTACTGTACGTAAGAATTTAAGTAGTGGATGATTATTACCCAATAAGAATCTAGGGTCTGGGGGCCTCTACAACGTTTAAAAAAAGTGTAAATTATAATGATAAAAATCTTATTATTGTGTTTTTTTTAAAGGGCCTTATAGGAAAGTGGTATTCAGTTTAATTTCTTGAATAAATTGCCTTTTTTTTGTAGCTGAGACGAGTGCTATTGTCTTGGCCATTATTATATTTATTCTATCTTGATGAAAGAATTGTCAACCAGATAGGATGAGAGAGTGATTTACTTTTTATTTATAAGAAATCAAACATTCTTATCTGGTCTTTCCCTTCTTCTTCTTCTTAGTATTTTCTTATATTTTATATACAACAAAGCTTCTGTTTAATGCAAATGTAATATAAACTTAGTTTAAAATTCTTGAATCAGAAAATTTCCCTGCATAACACTCATCCAGGATTTTTACGTACAAAATTCTTCGTACATCTCTGTTTATTTACATTGTTAGGAGCTATGATTTTACTGTATAAGACGTATGTAAATTGAGGAGTTTATCTTTGATATTTCTTAAGTTGTTTGGTGCATTTTCTTGCAATCTAAACGATATTTATAACTTCATATCGCATTAAATAAAACTAAAAGTATGATAAAATGTTCCATAATTACGCCACAGCATACTTTAAGGTACAATTATTTTTATATCATCTTTCTAGTTCATCCCCCCACTCGATTTATATGTTATTTACTATAAAATATATATATATATATGATAAATAGAACCTATTTATTAATTTACTAATTAATTATGCTTCTATTTAAAGTAATTTAGCTTAAAATTTCATTAAATAACGTATGTAGAGGTATACAGTCGACCCCCTATAACACTGTTGATAATTCCGTTTTATATGAATTCCATGTTGTACGAGTCACTTAAATTTTACAAATACGTGAGCCGTTCACAGCCTGGCAAAGGTATTTGTAAAATCTAAGTAACTCGTACAACATGGAACTCATATAAAACAGAATTATCAACAGTGTTATAGGGGGGTCGACTGTACTATGTTATATTTATGTATACAGTACAATACTTCTTATACGACATTGTTTATCACGTTTATGACATTATTAAGAGCAATTTCTTGCATTAAATTATGTTAAAAAAATATTATATTTATTTATTATTTTTGATTATAAATAATTACATTAAATCCTTATGATAGATACTTTATAATAATTAAATGTAATGATTAATTAAACAAAGTATTTATTTACATTATAAAATGACGGTTATTTTATATTTATTTAAGGTGAAAAATAAAAAAAACTTTCTCCAATTCTACTTTTAAATTTAATTAATTTAGTAATTCTGTATTATTTTAATCTTATAAAATTGACTATTAAATAGATTTATATTTTTATATTAATTGCTCTTAGTTCGAAAATAAATACATTTTTGATAATTTAAAATATATTATAATCGATTTTTTATTATAAAAATTGAAAATTTCTTAAAACTTTAAATAAATTAACCATTAACTAAATGCAAATGAATTAATTACTGTTTATTATTTTATATTATAATGATGAATAATTAAGTTTTAATGTAAAGTACAGTAAATTTTAATGATTATTTGGCAAGATTTTACATTAATTCAAGCTCAAATTACATACAAAAGTTTTAATTTATATAGCCTATATATAGGCCTATATATTTATTTAATTGCCTAATAAAGGTAATATATATATATATATATATATATCTGCAATTTATTCCTTAAAGTTATTCAATTATTTAACTATTTGTCNATATATATTTACTAATTTAATGGATATAAATAGGAATAAAATCGTCATTTTATGACGGTAAATCTATAAAATTTTCTTTTGATACACGTCCTTTCTCTCTCTCTCTCTATCCTGATATTAAATATAAAGTATTATTTATCACCTTTAAACGAGTTTTGACACAAACCAAAATCGGTTCGATATTTTTCTCTATATATTTTATTTATATTTTAAATTATAGAATTCATCCGTCGTGTAATTTACTCCAGTTAAGAGGAGAAATAGAAATGCAGTTAGGTAGGAAAGCCGTACCAGAAAATTTCGTTTATCTAAAGAGCGTCGGTAGAAATTTAACTCAGGTAAGGTTTTAAAATAAAAATAACTTATTTAAATTTAAATCTATACATTCTAAGAACGATCAGTAACGTAGTTATTGCATAATCTATTCAATGTTATTCTTCATAACTCGATTAGGTAAGGCCACGACAAGAAGCTGAAGTGAAAATAAAGAATTTTATGCCCCCTTTCGTAAGTACAATTTTCATTTATATAACTTTATTATATAAATAATCGTTTCAAGTGTTATTTAAGATTAATTTTAGTTAATTTACCGATTAATCGAGTAAAAATTTAGTCTGATTTCATTGTTTTCTCCATAAGCTTGTAAGTACAGTAGAATCTCTACAACCCTTAAACTACGAGTAAAAAAAAAAATAAATTACACGCGTAATTCAAATTAAGTGTATGATTAGATAACAAACAATGAAATTATAAGGTTTAACACCTTTTTATTGTTGCCAGATACACCCATTTACTGTCGAACACTTGCTCCGTATTGTATAGGACGTGATGTATTTTAACAACAGTGTTTTATACTATTATTATTTATATAATAATAATTAATGTCGTGTTAATTAATATAAAGTAAACATGACATTATTTAATGTATTTTCTATTGTAAGAAGTGTGTAAAGTTTCATTGTATTGAAAAAAAAAGACATTTATTGTACCCTTTCATTAGATCAATGCCATTCTCGTTACTTACAAATAAAATAAAATGGCAACGACCTAACCGTTTCGATCTTTGAAATAAGTCAAATAAATAAGCTCAGTTAATAAATAACATTTAACATTTAGAATACTGTATATTAATTAAGTCAATTGATTTTAATTAGGCAAGTAAATAAAATTTTATGCCTAAAATAATTACTTTTTTAAAGTCATTTTTATAAGGCAAATAAAGCAAATTATTTATTTATTTTTTTAAATAAGTATATTTTTAATGTTATTTATTTATGATCTTGTTGTAAAATTGATGGTTTAATTTTAATTAAACCATCGCGAAAGATTAATTTTAAAAAAAAGATTTGGAAAGAGATAAAATTATTTAATCATATTTTTAATGCAATTTAAAAGTATATTTAGACCTAATTTTTATTTATATTTAAATGTATTTTATATACAATTTTTGTCTCTACTTAACTCCATATAGGGCCTAATTTTGTTTCTACTTAAACATATTTAATGCCTGATTTTTGTTTCTACTTAAACGTATTTAATGCCTGATTTTTGTTTCTACTTAAACGTATTTAATGCCTGATTTTTGTTTCTACTTAAATGTATTTAATGCCTGATTTTTGTTTCTACTTAAATGTATTTAATGCCTGATTTTTGTTTCTATTTAAATATGTTTAATGCCTGATTGTTACTCCTACTTTAAATGTATTTAATGCGCAATTTTGTTGATATTTACGTTAATTTGGGGCCAATTTTGTTCCTGTTTAAATGTATTTAATGCCCAATTTATTTTTTATTTATATAACATTTAATGCCTGATTGTTATTACTCCTACTTTAAATGTATTTAATGCGCAATTTTGTTGATATTTACGTTAATTTGGGGCCAATTTTGTTCCTGTTTAAATGCATTTAATGCCCAATTTATTTTTTATTTATATATTAAAACATATTCTCTACACTTAAACAATTTAATTACAGATTTATAATACGACAATTTGAAAATTAAATATAAATTTAAATTTACTTTTTTCGGTAGTTAAATTCTTAAAATATATAGGCTACCCCCCAAAAAAGGGGGCTACTCTAAAATTAATTTCTAGTATATAAAAACTTTTAAGAGCTTATTTAAAAGAGAATTTTCTATTAATTTAATTATTCCAAATGCATAATTTATTTATCCACATTTTAATATATGACATACACTTCATTCA